GTGGACCCGGAAGCCACATCGTGGTTCCCTGTGTTGGCGTCGAAGGTCTTTATCTTGTACTGGCCGTTGTGTACCAGCCCGATGGCCAGGTGCTTGTTGGCCAGCGTGATGTCATAAGAGAAGTAGTAAATCCCTGGGAAGGCACAGATGAATTTGCCGGTCATGGGGTTGTAGTGCTCACCCTCATTGAAGAGCACCTTGTTAAATATAATAGGCAGTCTTTCCTCTGGGTAGCTGGTTGTGATGCCCACAGAAAAGGCGGACTTGAGCACGATGCTCCCGCATCTGCACACTCCAGGCAGCCCGGGGTCGCCTTGGTCTCCTCGGTCTCCCTTCTGCCCAGGAGGCCCGACTGGACCAACTTCTCCTTTCTGTCCCTCCGGTCCTATGGGTCCTTTTTTTCCAGGCTCTCCTTGGTCCCCTTTCTCGCCAGCAAGACCGAGAGGCCCCGTCTTACCTCTCAGACCTTTAAAAAGAGGTTACAGTGGAATTAGTTCCTCTAAAGAGTCAAAGCAGCATCCTAACGCACCCCGCTTTGCCCAGCACCCCCTGCCTTTGTCTTGCCAACCGTCAGCGGTAAGCTACTAAATGATAAACCCTTTAAACAAATTCATTCACAAAAATGAAAGGGAATTTTCAGGAGAATTTTCAGTCCAATTTTTTGAGTATGTGAGCCTTTGTTTAGGCCCTGACTGATGTAAAAATAAATGGCTTTCATTTTGGTGATGGATCAAACGCCACTGAATTATCCACAACGGGCCTGATCACTACAGGAAGAGGGCTGTGAACACGATGACATTGTTTCCCAGAGTGGGCTCAGGGGGCCGGCAGAACCAGACAAGTTTGTAGGGGATGCTCAATTTCATGGCCCAGTTTATGTCAGTTGGTATTAATAACAAAAGCATTCACAGTTCAAGTTACTTATGTGAGTGCACAATTTTCTATGTATCAGGCACAGTGCAGAGGGTGCCATGTGCTTGCATTATCTTACTTAAATTGCACAACGACTCTGCAGACTGGGAGTCATTACTGCTTCCATTGTTGTTGCAGAAACTGAGCCACAGCAAAGTTATTTTTCTACAAGGAACAGAGGTAGTGAGTGATGGAGCTGGGACCCAACCTCATACCTGCCTGACTCTGGACCTTGGGCACCCCAGGGGCAGTGGCTAGAGTGGCCCATGGTGAGGGCTCATTATGCCACAATTGCTAAGGGTGATGATGTGACTACCACACAGTAGGTCCTTTTTAGAGGAGAAAACCATATCCCAGAGAGGCAGAGAAATTTGGATCTGTAGCTCTGCAGGGACTGGAACGCAAGGCTTCTGAGCCTAACCCAAGACTAACACACCTGATGACATCTTTGTTTCCTCAGCATGGCTCTTCCCATGGGGCTGGATTCAAGAATCCTGATTCAGATGGGCTGTGCTACTGTGTAGTTCTATCACTTTAGGTGAGTCCCTTAATTTCTCTGGGTCTCCTTATATTCAAAGAAGACACAGCAACTGTGAAAGGTCAAATTCAAAGTCATCATGCAGGACTATTTTTATTATCCCCAATCTTTATGTTTACAGTTCAGCTTGAGACTAATTGAATAGGAACAGTGATCCTGGGGTTAAGTAATAAGCAAAATCTACCTAACTGTTAAAGAGCGATGGCTGAATACCATAAAGATGCACTGTTTAAATTTATGGCCACATCCATTTCATATTGCTCATATAATGATTCTGTTCCCAACGCATACAAACTGTCAGTACTTTGTAATGTTGCTGGGAACATCTGTTCTTGAGGGAAAAATGTTCTTGATGCAAAGTTTCACTTTTAACTATGTTTATGTTTATTAATCTACACATGTTGCTCTTGATGGTGCTTTGATATAAATTATTTGGATACTGTACATATGTGTGAGTTTGAGAATTTCAATGTGTGAATGTGAGAATTTGATCTTTTTTTTTCAATTGCCTGGTAAAGTTAAAGAAGCATTTGTGTATGAAGAGAATTAAAAATTTACCCTTAAAATATCAAGTACTGTGTTTTATTAATTTTGGAAATTGGTATTTCAACAACATATGATACATAGAGGATGTTAACGGCGACATGATCCTTTCCTAGTGATTCAGGATCAGTGATCTCACTGTTCGCAGGCCTGTCTCCTAGCTACAGACAGCTTTTGTTGTCAAACTGAAGCTCTACTAGTTGAGCCAGAAGACAGTCTGACACTTATTGAAATAAGGTCATCATCATCTGCTCTCTTCTTATTTATTTCTTTTTGGTAGAAATGGAATATGAATAGCATTTTGCCATTTAATTAAATGTAGCATCAAAAACTACAACTCCTAAATTGACATTTTCATTTTTAACAGGAACTTTTTTTTTTTTCAGAGTTCACCATTGACCTTTGATGCATTCATAAAACCCAGTTGGGATTCAACAACAATTTCAACCATAAGGTTTCATTACCAACTCAAACCCTCCTGACTTTTTGATTTGGGGAAAGAAGGTCATTCCTTGTCTGCTTTCAAATGCTCCATTTGTAATATGGAGAAAGTGTTCATGAGTAGACTCCAAAGTTAGTGGGCAACACAGTCCTTAGTGAATGGGCATATGAAAGTGTCGAAGTGGCACAAAACCCCTCCAGCTCTCCAGAGGTGATTGTGAAGAAGGGGCTTGATCTCATGGGCTTCCACTTCTCAGCCTTTGAAACAAAATTGTGGACTTTTAGATTGCTTGGGGTCCTGTCTGCTTGAAAATTCACAGAGATCAAATCTTTCATACTGGGATGTGATTTTGTAACTCTGTTCACAGAAATGTGTGCACAACCTAAATGCTTAAGTTCTCTCTACTAATACTATAATATGCTGAACTTCTGGGTAGCAGAGATTACAGACTAACTATAGTGATTTATAGTAACTCTTCCTTTCTGCACGAAGAGCTTGATGTGCTAAGGGCTTATATATTAAGAGTATAAGGAAAGAGTCAGTCATTATTCATCTTCCCATTTAATCAGACATAGTCTTGGGTAGAGAGGAGAATTATGGAGTCTATTTATGCGCACTAAGTGTGTACTAGATGCTGAAGCTTTGACAGAAAAATCTTAAAGATTTTCTCCTCAGTATCCATCCATCCATCCATCCATCCATCCATCCATCCATCCATCCATATATTCATTCATCTGTCCATCCATTGATCCATCCATCCATCCATCTATGCATCCATGCACCCAAAGATCCTGCATGCATACATCCATCTAAACCATTTAATATGGATCGATCCATTACGTCATTGAGATATGGGTGTGGTGTGACATTGGCATGATAGCATCTGCACCATCCTGTAGTTGGCTTTTATTGCCTTGGGATATGCAAATGTGGGTCATAGCTAACTCACGAATACCTAAGTCAATACATTAAATAGTTTCCAGAGGGGGTCCTAGTGGTGTTTACAGATGCTTATATGACTATGCCCTCAGATTTAGTTAAATGTTGATAATATGCTACAGTAATAATTGCTACAGACCAGTGGAGAGAAAGATAGGTTTCGTATAACATTTATAATTAAAAATAACAATTCTCTTATTTCTAGTTAAGGGTAGTGAAGTGAGAGAAATTCATTCACTTTACCCATGCATGGTTGTGGGTGTGGTGAGTGTTCGCTGTTCACACAGTCAAAAGACACTTGTGTGTCATTAACGGGGCAAAAGCCACATCATACCCCTTGTAGCCATGTTATAAACATGTCCCCAAAGCCCAAGGGCTCTGATCCTGCTGTTTCTACATGAAGTATACATCTGTTCATTGACCACAGAGTCACTCATGCGTCCTATCTAGGATGTTGAATATCATTATGTGTGTATGACAGGAAATTCACTTTAGTTTTGAATGCCAAATTTTCTTTTTTAAATTTTATGTGTGTGTGTGTGTGTGTGTGGCCAGCTCAGCCCACCAGGGGCGAGGCTGACTGGCGTGTGGTGCTGGGGGATTGAACCGCAGTTCCTATGCTTTGCTAAGCTTGTTCTAAGTAGGTGCTTTAGACCACTGAGTCATCTCACCAGCCCCAGAATGCCAAATTTTCATTGATAGCATTATTTTTATTGTATATTATGCTTCTTGCTGATTACGGTGTTGGAGATTAAATAGTAGGTTTAAAGTCCCCAGCATGGAATCAGTTCTTAATCAAAGGTTATGACTTTGGTGTATCGTAGCTATGTGTCTATGTAGTGGGTTCCCTCAAGGAATGAGGCCAGAACAGGCCTCCCTCATCTTTGTGCTGCCAGTGTCTGGGAAGGTCTTCTCAGCCAGGTGTAATTTTGTGCTGAGCTCCCTTATTCCCAAGGGAGGGTTTCCAGTGTCTGGCGACCTTCGTGGTTGTCCCTATTTGGAAGGCAGTGGGTGCTGCAGGGTTATAGGGGTTGCTGAGAAACACCTTATCATGCACAGGATGGCCATGCATAGAAAATAATTATACAGCCCTAGATGTCATTAGTGCAGAGGCTGAGAATACTGATCTGGATTAAACCTGAGAAGGAATAGGTGCAGAAGAAAGTTTCTGCATGGATAGCACCCAGGGACCTGGATGACCAAATGGCTGATGTACAGGGAGGACAGCTGGCCTCACACGAGTTTAAAATTGTAGCAATCCTGGTCATTTAACTTAATCTGAAATAAAACTAGAACTATTTCGTGAAGCACATGAGTCAGTTTTGGTTCAGTAAATAGCTTTGGAGAACTCAAAGTTTAGCTGTGCTCTATATTTGCAGATCAAAATGTCCTAATACCAGCTAAAATTCCCCGAATGCTTCCAGAGTGGCTGTCATTCTGGGGGGTGTTTTGCACGTGTCATTGCCCTTAAACTTCACACTTGCTTTTGCTAGTCTCAGTTTACAAATGAGGAAACAGAGGCTCAAAACGTTTATTTGCCCAAAGACCTTAAGCTAAGCAAATGAAGGAGCGAAGATTTGTGTCTAAGCCCTTCTTCTTCCAAAGCTTATTTGTCTAGCCATCACAGGATTCCTTCCAGAGACTGCAAACTAGAAGGGTCAGTAACACGGAAGCATGGTCCTGGTGTCATCACACCTCAAGGGGAACCTGTAGTTACAGAAGTTACCCTACGTGTGACTTTGAAAATTTGCTGCATTCAGAGTTCCTTGAGCTACCCAAAGGTTCTTCAATATTGAGCAATATTTACAGATTTAGCTGTTATTGATTCGCTAAACCTTTTTCATTTACTAAATAATGCAGAAGTACATTATCCTCTGATAAAGCCAGTGTGTATTCTGACATTGTTCCACGGAAGCCCAGTAAATCAGGTGTGGTGATTTGACACAGACGGATTTCTTAGATATATTGATTTTTTTCCTTCCTATCTTTTGTCCCAACTTTTACTCCTGGAAACTTGTTTACAAAGATTGATTCCAAATCCTTTCCTCTTCTGGTGTTACAACAGCCACCTTAGAATTTCAATTTGGCTTACTCTGAAGGACTATGGAGGCTGGCAAGCTTCCCAGGCCAACTTATTTATGGGATGAAAAAAGTGAAAATTACTGCAGGACTAGGGGACAACTGTGTCACTGCAGAGAGCTCTGAGAGATCTGTGGTTTAGCCACTACAGAGCAGGTGGGAAGGCAGTGGACTGTGAAAGCTGGTTGTAGCGTGCCACTGTCATTTCAGCTGTGAAGAATAAAATCTGAAACCCTAAGGCCCTTTTGCTCGGAGCACCAGCATGAGCAGGCTGGCACGAGTGTCTGGCTCCTAATTTCCACCTCCGCTTAGCTGGTTCCTCTCCTCTCCTGCTCATCTGTCTTTCTGGCCATCTGTGCCTCCAGACATCGCATGGCCTGGGAAAGGCATCAGATGCTGGAGTCTGGCCCTCCAGGTCCTGAGTAGCACGTGCCCACGTATGGCATCTCCAGGAACCCATGGTATCCCACTACGGCGCAGTTTTCTCACTGATACGATGTGACAATGTCTGCCACCAAGAGCTGTCCTGACCATGAAGTAAGGGTGCAGGTACAGAGTTGAGGGCAATGTCAGAAGCACAGGATGGGCTCAATAAATTTTTAGGCTTAGTGGAGGTGAAGGAGGGAAGGATTTCAGGAACAATTCCCGTGAGAAGTGATAGAGAATGGTGTAACACGAGGTGGACTGGATGAAGAATGTTCTAGCGAACTTCCTCATTCATTACCTGCAGTTCCCTTTTCACCTTTCTCTCCTTTCCTGCCGTCTCTACCGTCTCTTCCCGGAAGGCCGATGCGACCATGGTGCCCAGGAGAACCGTTTGCTCCGGGGGGTCCTGGAGGTCCAGGCAAGCCAGGAATGCTGCAGATGTATCTCGGGGAGTAGCTCTCTCCTTTGCTCTGGCCGCCCCGAGGTTGTCCACTGGCACATAAGGCAAAACTTGTAACATAGAGCAACACAAACATCTTTGGCTCTGGAAGAGAAACAGACATAAACACACCCTCTCAGGGTGGGGCTTTCACATGATTGATTCAGGGTGATGTGAGAATGGGGACTTGCCACAACTCCCTCCAGCCTTCGTCCTTCCACGTGTGCAAATCCCATTTTTCCCTCACAAATCCCTGTGGGTTAGTGCTTTATTGACAGGGTCCTCAGTGTCCAGCACAGGGTGGTATAGACAAGGGATGGATTTGCAAATTTTCAAAACAAATCACTGTGTCGCATTTGTTCTACAAAAATCAATGACAGGTTTTGAAAAATGAACTTGTCTTTTTTTGTAAAAGGAATGCATTTCTTTAAAAAAGAAAGAGCAATGAATATCAGGGCCAGTCTCACCACACAGAGATAATTACTCTTTACACTTTAGTATGCACTTGTGTACTTTTCATTTATACTGTTTAGATAAATGACATTGGGTCATTTTCTACAATTCCTTAACATTCACTTCTTTAACAATGTGTGATGGATGTCTTCCTATGTTAAAATTATTCATGCCAGTAAGAAGTCTTGCTTTTGTCTTTATGACGTTCTATGTGTCTAGCCCTCCGCTACAGATACTTGCTTCCAGCGTTCTGCTAACATAAACAGCATGCCAGACATCATCCTGTCTCATCTTTGCACGCATCCATGATTGTTTTCTTTGAATTTATGGGCTTTTTAAAGCGGAAAAGAGAAGAAGCATTTTCAGGAAAACCATGTTTTTCACTTGGTAATCGTGTGTAATGCCAATTAGCGTTAATTGGCATACTGTGCATGTCCTGAGGGGAGCTTCAAACTTTAATTTAAAATCTGTGGGATAGAGTGCCATGGTGTCCCATTAAGCCATTAGCACGGGGGTCAATTAAGGAGCTGTGTGAAATTAAGTCATGCGGCGCACCGCATGCCTGGAGCGAAGCGGCCGGGTCTCCTCAGCTCTAACCTAATAGGACTTGAGTTTCTCTCCACAGAGCCTGGCAGCTGAGAGTGATGCAGCAGGTATCGGCAGGATGTCCTGGATCCACTGAGGGTGGAGCACGGTGGCATCGGTTAGAGACACTGATTTTGAGGATAAGCATTCCCTTGCACGGGAAAACATAGGCAAGTGGCTTGGGGTTGTGGAACCGAGACATTTCTGGATGGTTGGACCTGTGTTTTAAAAAGAAATCTGTATAGTGCTTAATTTAGATGATACTCTCCCAGAGGACAAAAATCCTAAAGCCTGGGGAAAAGTCTGAGAATTTCTTTCTGTTTTGATGGCTACCTCATAAAATTAACCAGGAACAGTGTACCATTTTCATGATATCCATGGGGGGAGATGGCAACATTTGACCCAGAAATCTGCCAGAGTGCAGGAAGGTCAGACTGAGAAAAGTGCAGCGTGCTTCTGAGATTCCGAGATAAGCCTCATTCCAGAAATATGTTAGTGAGAAACCAAAGCAACTTATTGAACAGGGGCTTTATAACCTCAACCAAATCTTAGCGTAACAGTTCTCAAAAAACCTAAAAACAAAAAAAGCAAAGCAAAAAAGACACCGCCACCTCTTGACCATTTTTCTCTGTCTCACTTGCCATCATCTGTGCTTTATTACTAGGATGAAACACATGAGGCCAGGGACCTATGAAGAAAAGTGGCTCCTTCAGCTCATGGCTTTGTACTGGCAGCTCAAGGCGCATAGTGCCAACTTTGATTAGGGCCCACGTGGCTCATCACTTCGTGGTAGATGCCATTATGGGGAAAATGTTAGCGAGACAGGATGGGGGCGGGGAATAGATCAAGTTAGGAAGGGGCCTGGCCTGTCTTGTGGTTTCCATGGGGTGTCACCCTCAGCACCTCACCACTGCCACAACTAAGGACCAGGCCTGCATCATGAGCCTGGGAGAGCAGGCTTACATCCATCCCAGATGCGGGAAGTGCAGACCCAAGACTAAGCCTGGTGCTCAGTGGAATTAAGGCACATTCTGCCAGCCCTGAGAGGCTGAAAGAGATGCCAGTCCTCCAAAGGAGCCTCAGGTGCAAGAGATGGCAAGAACCTTCTATGCACGCTCCTTTTAATGTCCTTGAGTGTGTAGATTAGTTCACCAGTTTCTCACTGTTGTGGAAGACTGATGAGGTGAAGGATCACACAGAAGGGACTCAAGAGGGGGCTTTCAACTACCTGGGGGACACAAGGTTTGGGGCTAAGGCCTGGAGGCAGTGCTAACAGGGACTAGAGATTGTCTGGAGAGAAGAAACAGGGACAGTGTCATCGCAGACACTGTGGCTCGTGGAGGTAGGGTGGGGAGGATGTAGTGATGTGAACAGTAGGGGCAGGGGGACAGCAGAGCAGGTCAGGGCTGGTTAGTGGAGAGCAGCAATTGAAATAAATTTTTAACTAGTCTGTAACCAGGCAAGAAAGTGCTGAGAGGAGGGATACCTTAGAGCAACTGACATGGACTTATTGTTGAATGAGTGAATTGCTTTCCCCCTGCAGTAGATCTAGTGGAATTTTATTTTTGATTCATGAATCGGGGCATCATCCAGTTCATAAAAAAGATGAGATCTTACATTAGGCACTGGCGGAGCAGTGGGTTTTGGAAGTTGAAAAAAGGAAGCAGAGAAAGGTAGGGATGCATGCTGGGTAATGACGGGTAACTCTGCATTACGTTATGCAGAAAAATTAGAACATTAGAATGGGGCCTTCCTTGTTACTTCCCTTCAGATACCCTGGAACCTCTTGTTTTACGGACCATCTGGTCTGTTTCAGACTCTATTTGATTCTTTAAAATTTAAATCCAATTAGGTTAAATTTAGAACAATTATTTTTGCTTCTTCTGTACTGTTTGAATATATATATATATATATATATATATATATATATATATATATATATATATATATATATATATATTGATCACATTCACATAGGGAACATTTGGGCTTGATTCTTTTCTTTCTCATTCCTTTACCCTCCCTTCAACCCCTCTTCCCCTCCTTGTTTGCAAAAGCTTTGCTTCCATTTTTCCTTCTTTAGTTACTTTTCTTTTCCTTTCCTTCCTTTCTCCCTCCACCCTCCTAGCTCTCCCTCCCCCTTGAGCATTTTCTTCCTGTTCTGCAGTATATATTACATATCTTTGTCCTTGTTTATGCTTCTGGTTGCTGAGCCATTGCAATGGCTCCTTTCCTACTTAAGAACCTAAAGCTTCCTGTTCCTATTCCTTGGTTACATGGTCTGGAAGGTAAAACATTGCACCAAAGTCAAAAGCTTCAGTCTGTGAACTGTCCCGGCAGTGCACAGGCTCACTGTGCGTGGCACCTCACGTAGAACAGTGGCATGATGGTGAGTGACTCCAGGGACTCCTGGGGCTTGGTTCACTCAGGAAGACAAGGAGGTGTGGACCATAATGGGAACCCACAGTGGATTCTCTGGGCAATGGCTCCTTTCCTACTTAAGAACCTAAAGCTTCCTGTTCCTATTCCTTGGTTACATGGTCTGGAAGGTCCTCCGTATATCTCTGACCTCATCTACTTAATTTTATTTTTATTTCTAATTTTATTTATTTATTTATGTAGTTATGTGTTTGGTACAGGATCTCACTAAGCAGCTCAGACTTATAGTGATCCTCTTGTCACAGCCTCCCCAGTGCTGGGATTACAGGTGGGCACCACCATGCTTGATTTCTGCCTACATGGCATACAGTACCAGCGATCAAATTCGGATCCTCATGCTTGCCAGGCAGGTGCTTAGACTGCCAAGCTCCCTTTCCACCCCAACTTTGTCTATTTTATAGCTCATTTACCTGCTTACAGCCCCTCTGGATTCCTTAGGGTTCCATCATATGTTCCTCATCTCTGTCTAAAACCCTTTTCACATGTCTTTTAAAAAACTGTTTTTTTTTTATTTTTTATTTTTTTACTAGTACCTGCTTGCAGTACATAACGATTACATGCATCATGGAAAATGGGTATGTTAGGTACAAACTCATGCAATCAACCAGACCAGGCATTCTGACGTGAGTAGGCGATTGACTGGGGGGAGCAAGTGGGCTGGATGTCTAGCAGACCAAGACAGCAGCAAACAAGGCAAAGCACAGAGCTTTTAAGGTGTTAAGGTGCTTAGTGTGTTTGTGGGGTAGGTTGGGCTGGAACGGCTGAGGGAGAGCTAATCTTGGCAGGCTAGCTGGTCTGTGGGGGGACCTTCCATGTTAACAAAGGAGAGTTTCGTGGTTGCTTGCCCAGGTCAGAGTCAGGTGGACCTGTTCTGGGGTTTTGGGTTTGGCTCTGCATGGGGCCAAGAAGGAGAGAGTTTGGGGGCAGGGTGCCGGGGAAACCAAGAGGAAAAGTGCTGGGGGCAGGGTGCCTGGGAAACTTTGAATCCTGACCAGTCAGGGTACACAACATCTTGTACAGAACTTCTTGATTCTTCCCCCACCCCAATGTCACGTTTGTCCCTTCACCTCTTTCTTGAAGTCTTTGCCGAAATGCCATCTCATTCCTGAGTTCAACTGTCCTTGCTGTTTAATGCTGAAGAGTGCTTTCATTTTATCTTTGGCCCTTCTTTTTCCTGCTCTGTTTATTTCTATTCCCCATTGCACTTATCATCTCAAACTCACCAGATCACGCCTGTCTTTTTTTTTTTTTTTTTTAATGTTGTTCATTTCTGGCCAGTGGTGTGTAAGTTCTCTGTGTGTAAGGACTTTTAATTACTGAGGTGAGCAGGGCCAAAACTTATAGAAAAGCCTTGTACAAAAGGTCCCAAGCTGGGTGAAGAGAAGACTATTTTGCAAGAGGTGTGAGTTTTGTGGAAGATGAGAATTTTGTAAGACAAAGGTGGAAAAGAGGATTTAAAGAGTTTTCTGGGATCTATGTGTGTGTGTGTTTTTTTTTTTTTCAATATTGGAGAGGTACAAGTAAAGGGTTTCTGTTATTTTTATCTTATACAGTCTCTGGTCTTTGAAAATATTTAAAATTTAATTTTTTAAAGAAATTACTGCCTCTAATCCCAGCACTGGGAAGGCTGAGACAGGAGGATCACTAAGAGTCTGAACAACCTAGTGAGACCCTGTATCCAATAAGTAAATAAATAAAAGAAAAATAATTTTTAAAAAATAAAAAAAATAAAGAAATTACTTTTTGGACATAGGGACTCACTAAGCAGCTCAGACTTGCATGGATCCTCCTGTCTCAGCCTCCCCAGCACTGGGATTACAGACCTGCACCACTATGCCTGTTTCTACAGTACAGGGGATTGAACTCTAGTCCTTGCATTTGACAGGCAGTCACTTAGATCACCAAGCTCCCTCCACAACCCTTTCAAATTTAATTTTTGTATAGATAATAATTTGTACTTCATAATAATTTGGAAGAACAAAAGAGAAGTGAATGCATCTTTTTACTTTTCTTCAACTTCCAGACACCCAGTTACCTCTCTAGGGATTCTTGTGTATCCTCTTGCCCCATGCAGCACTGCACACATTGTTCTGCCCTTTGTCCTCTTCATTTCCACATCAGCACAAAGAGTCACCCCTCAGTATCCATGGAGGGCCAGTTCCAAGGGCTCTGGACCACCCACACTGGTGCCAAAATCCAAGGATGCCCAGGTCTCTGATGTAAAATTGTGTAGTGTGTGCACATGTCCCTGAATGCTTTAAATCATCTACAAATGACTTATCATTTCTAATATAATGTAAATGTTGGGTAGATAGTTGATACATAGTTCTATTTAGTTAATAAGGAAAAGGCTACACAGCCTCAGTGCACAAGTTTTTGAATATTTTTGTATCTGTCTTGGTAAACATAAAACTACTACACTCCCTTTATTTCGATAGTTCTTAAGCACCCATCATACACCTAATATATATATATATATATATATATATATATATATATATATTATAGTATTTACTACAGTATATTATAGTATTTATTACAGGGTCTATAGGGTCTCACTACACGATCTGACTCACAGTGATTCTCCTATTTTCAGCCTCCCAAGCGCTGGGATTACAAGTGCACACCACCATGTCCAGTCTCAGTTGCAGTCTCAGTGTACCCTGGGGGTGGCGCTGGCAGTGTTCAGGGATCAAACTTGATCCCTGCACCTGCCTAAGCAGGCACTTTAATCTGCTGAGCTATCTGGCTGGCCCTCCTGTATTATATTTTATGGTGTCCCCTAATGCACATATTTTTTTTGCTACTATAAACAGTGGTGCAATGAATTTTTATATCTATCTGCATACGACTCAGGGCATGAATTGCAAATAATTTTTCCCAGTTTGTCTTTTGACTTCTTTCATGTGTTTTGAGAATATTTTTGCTATGAAAACAATTTTAAAATTCTAGCTTGAAGGGCCAGCCTTCACACCCTGTACACCCTGTACTCCCTGACCTAAAATTAAAAAAAAAATTAAAAAAAATTCTGCTTGGTGTATTTATAAGACTTCTCTCCCTTCAAGATACTAAGGCTCATCTTACACATCTCCTCAGTTGTCTTGTTCCAATTCATCATATTTAAAATTTTGATGTTAGAACTTTTCTGACTCTCAAAAGGAAATAGCTTTATATTTCCAACTCCTTGTTCAGAATAATCGACTTATCGTCCACTGCCCACAGTTTTGGAGTGAACTCAAGTTATTTTGAATGAACCATTTGGGTCATAACTTTATAAATATTATGGTAATTAGGAGCAGCTTTATAAAGATGTAATTTGCATACCAGAAATTAACCACACTGTGCAGCTCAGTGCACACCATAATCCACTTTAGAATCTTTTTAAAATCCTGAAAACTTATACAGATTAACAATCACTTCTCATACAATATGCTCTAAAAGCATTAAATTGAGCTATGAAAATTTATGTCGATATGCACTAGAGTGTATTTCTTTCCACTTTGGTGCCTCTTTGGAGTTGCGAATCAAAGTTCTGGAAATAATGATAATCTTGAGCAAGTCTGTCCTAGATATCAACTGTAAATTACTTCCTTATTTTTCTGTGGCAATAATAAAGTAACAGGTCATTAGCTTGTCAAGTGCATCTTTTACAAAGTTATACATCATAGATATATATGTGTACATAGAATACTTTCATGTTAATGTATTCAGTATCCTGAGGGTAGGGATGTAGCAATAATGTTTTGTAAGTTTTTTTAAAATTACAAATACCCTTTGTTCTTGCTAAACTAGCCATGAAAACCACGGGGAGAAACACTGACCTCCCAGAAAGTGCGCTCTTAGACTGAGACCCTTCTACAAAAGACATGCTTATTTTTTCTTGTAGAATTAAAAAAAAAATGGTGGGAATGTAAGATGGTGCAACCTCTGGAGAACAGTATGGTGATTCCTTAAAACAATTAAATATAAAATTACCTTATGGGGCTGGGGAGATAGCTCAGTAGAATAAATGCTTGTCTGGCAAGCTCAAGGTCCTGAGTTCAATCCCCAGCAACTCAAAAAAAATTATGTTATGGTCCAGCAATTTCATATCAGGGTATGCATGGAAAAAGAAGTGAAAACAGGGACTCTAACAGATACTTGCACCCCCATACCCATAGCAGCATTATGCACAATAGCCAGAAGGCCACTACATCAACATAAGAGTAGATCAAACAAAGCATGGTCTATGGTATAGTGGAATACTATTCAGCTTTAAAAAGGAAGGAACTCTGATGCATGTGACAGGAGAGATGAGCCTTGAAGCCGTTGTGCTATGTAAAATAAGACTGTCACAAAAGCACAATGACCCTGTGATTCCTCTCATACACTAGCCACATTTGCAGAGATGAAAACACTATCATTTCTCTATGGACTCATCCACACAGTCATAAAATGGCACAGCCAAGATTTGGACAGAGTTATGCTTCTTGCCAAACATTTGAGTTTTCCTCTGCATCATGTGAGGGAAACTATAACACATTACTTCACGACAAAGGTCTGGGCTTGATTATTAATTCAACTTGAAAAGGCTCTTTGCCTGGAAATCATTAGGAAGAGGATAGGTGACCAGGGAGAGCTGAAACAAGACATCTCCTTGGCCTCTGATATGGAGATTTCACAATCGCAGGCTTTGTCCTTCTCTGGCTGCAGCAGGAGGGTCCTGAGCTCGGGACAGGATGGAGACTCTGGCCGTCCAGCCCCAGATCCTCTTGGTGCAGGTCCTGGGCTCCTTGCCTCTGGAATTCTAACTTTCCTACGCAGGACTGTTTCACTGCTTTCCTGTTTGAATAAGCTCCTTCTCCTGGAAATGCTCAGGCCCCTGCGGGTCCACACAGCCACCATGTGCTGCTTGCTAATCTCCCCAGCAAAGTACAAACTCTGTATCACAGACATATAGGGCAGAGACTGGTCTAAAGCAAAGGCCTGCCAAAGACTGAATGAAGAAAAATACGTATTCATCAAGGTTATTATTACCAGCAGTTCATGGTTCCTAAGTTTTGGTTGTTTCATGTTAAGTGCTATGACAGTGCTTCAGCAAAATCTGACCCTTGCAAAGTATCTTACAGTCTACAGAGTATTGCTAAGTCCATCTCATCTTCCCCAAAGCCCATTTGTGGTAGGTTGGACAGGAAACCAGAGCCCAGAGGCCATGGCCTGCCGTCACAAAGCTAGCGTCAGACTAGAGATTGAGACCTGGATCTTCACTTCCCTGGATTCTTCCTACAGAACTGCCTGATTAATCCACTAAAAATCCACCATACTGAAAGTAGGCCATTGCATCTACGTTTGTCAAAATTTTAAGAACAGAATAAACACCGTACCGTGCTCGCAGTTGGTCGTGGCTGCTGGGTCCTCAGTGTGCAAGAGACTGAAGATCTTTCCTGAAAGCTCGGTGAAAAGGTTGCTTTGGTACCAGGCAGAATAAGAAGTCCAAATTCTCAAAAATTTCCAAATAGTTGTGCTAAAAATAATCTAGTTTAGTCCCAAAGAGCCAGAGGCCCTGGAAGTCGTTCATCTAACAAGCTCAACTCAGGCACCAGTTAAAATTGCAGTCTTGTTTGGGACCAACTTTAAGTGCCTGCTTTCCTTGACTGATAAGTTTATAGACTTCTCCATCTCAGTGGACTCCAGCCTCTTTCAGATTTGTTTACTTAATTTTTTTCCCTCTTCCATTGAGTGGATGGTTCCAGAAAAAGAGATCACTTGCCTCCTGGAAATTAGCTGTTAACTTAGAGACAAGTGTCATTTCCTGGTGGAGAGTTTTCAGAGTAGAAACTTTAAATTCTAGACATAGAATAGACTTTCATGGCCTAACAAGGAGCACTGTCTCTATTCTTGATAAATATGGCAGGAAAATGCCTCTAGATGCTTTGCACTGTAAAAAGAGAGAGGGTTATGAACCCTGCGCTGATGTTTTCTTTGTTCTTTGCTGAATGGATAAATGATTGAGTATTTTTAGAAGACGAATATGTCTTTGTTCCTGCAGAGAACAGACCATAACAACTCAAAAGGCAGAGTGATTCTCCAAAGCCTAAGACTACTTATCCTTAGTGCAATCAATTTCTTTGTTTCCTTCTGATATGTATTTCTTATATCTCCATGGCAACAACAATATGTCATTCATGATGTCACTTAGGGAAATTAAGTGGCTAAAAATGTCCTGTTTTCTCCTTCCTTCTTTTGAAGCAATAACTCCGAAAGAAATGTTTCCAGAGTGAGCGAAGTAAGTGCTGACCACAAAACTAACCAAGAATATTCTTCAGTACCCACTTTTCACATGGGAGGAAGTGGTCTTTTGAGTTTTGGGGTGTCAAATTCTTAGTGATCCTATAGCATTGTAAAATAATGTCTTGCCTGCAGAAGCTAATCCAGAAATTTTTAAATGAGAATGTATTCTAGACTGGCCAAATAGTTCAGCAGATTAAAGCACCTGCAAGCAGGCACAGGGGTCAGGGGTTTGATTCCCAGGCCTGCCATGCCTGCTCACCCCCAGGGTATGCTGAGCCAGTGATTGAGGCTGGATGTGGTGGCACATGTCTGTAACCCCAGCTCTTGGGAGACTGTAAACAGGCAGATCACTATGACTCTGATCTAGTAGTGAGACATTGAACACCTGTAGACTCTTCCCTAAAGAATACAAAGAGAGAGAATGTATTCTTGCTTGCATAGAATTCCTGTGTTTGTTTTTTCATCTTCAAAACAAAATGGTTGCTTTTAACTATTCCTCATGTTCTTTGCAGCTCTTAATCCTTCCTAACAGAACATTGATGCTGAATGTCAGTTACTGACACACTTAATTTCAGGTGCTCCAGCTTTTCGTATGCTCATTTGTTTATGAGGTATCACTTCGTAAGTGTGCTTTTCCTTCATTCAGTGAGTGAGTTCTCTGCCAGGGAACTTGGATGAAAATGTAGACCAACAAATGTTTGGGTAGATAGGTGTGCTCTTCTCTTTCTGGCTTCCTTTGGCCAATCTTGATATCGTTTACAGACATCCATGCTTGCCTTTTGTGTCACTCCCCTTTTGTGTAGGTTGCACATGTTAATGGCTTCACTCTGATACATCCCTCCTTGCATCTAGCCTGTGCTGATGAAGTCCTATCTTGCTTTCCACATCTCCTGTTCTCACTCACACCAATTCTTTTGTTACACTTTTTTTTGGGGGGGGGGGACAGAGTCTCACCACACAGTTCAGGTCAGTCTTGTGCTCACTTTTGTAGCCCCCAGGCCAGTCTCAAGCTTGCAGGGATCCTCCTGTCTCAACTTTCAGAGTGCTGGATGACAGGCTTGGGCCCAGTTCCTATCTATCACTCTTCTGATGAGTGATAGATTCCATTTCCATTCTGCAATATTCAGTTTTCCCCTTTTCAGATATTATTTTTCATTTCAGAAACTTAATACAATCTGTATCTATTTCTCTTTCCAGAAAGATGAACCTCTGGATTAGTCGCTTACAGCATTCAGATCTCAGAAGCAGACAGAACTTGTTGGCATCTATTTCATTCAGTTATTTTTGGACTCATTTTCAAAACAGTAGCAAAAGCAATGGGTCAAAAAAACATGCTGGAGGGAGCGCTGGCTGTGAGAGAAAAGCAAGGTCCCAGCTTTACCGGCTGCTCGCCCCTCCGCCGATGGCTCATTCTGGTTTTTGCTAAAGCAGATAGTTTTTCCCTCCCAGCTTGTGATTTTGTTTTCAGCTGCCATTGGTTTTTCAGCTGTATCCAGTTCAGTTGGTTCTGATCTAGTCGTCTTTCCTAAGGCATCTAACAGTGTGCTGGTTAAAGAGCTCTTGAAAAAGAAATAGTTCAGGCTTGTAACATTTGCAATTTCCGGGATAGAAATGCTCCCTATAGGCAGTTGTAAGCCACCAACCTGACATTTACTGAATACAAATGTGGGAAGGCATTTGCAGAAACTGGTGCTCACTAGCTCTTCTAAGACGAACCCACACATCTCCGATTGCTCCGCCTCTCTCTCTTCCTCTATCATCCACATACCATTTCACTAGTCACTAGAATTATTTTAAAAGATGAGTTCTCTGATGTACAAGAAGCACACACAGTGCTCTTCGGACAAGGCAAACAGTGCCCCCTTTAATTTTCACAATAGGCTTTCTCATCTTTCTTTCAGAGCTGAGTGCCCTAGGCAGGCCGTGCAGCTCCCTACGATGTGTATTCCTTCCTTAAGGTATTGCTAACTTTACAAAACTGGGTTCCTACATCCAAATAACTTATACTCGGGTGGACACGCAGTTGTGTCTTTCTCCTCCCTTGAGGGGCATCAAGCTCCCTTAGGTTGTAATCTCCTCTTTCTAGCCTCAGAGTCTTGCTCATGCCATTTCCGAAGGCTGCGAGTCCTCCACACCTGGGTCCTCCCGCGCCCCTTTCGTCTGTGTACATTTATCTTCCTTGTGCATCACTTTCTCCTGAGAGTTTCCTTGACACTCTCTCAACCAGGCACAAGACTTCCTTCGCTCCTTCCCGGCATGTCACGTGCACCTCGCTTTGGCACGTAGCTCACATCTACTGAATTAGCATAAGGAGCTCAAGACTTGCCAGTTCTATCTGCTAAAAGCTCTGCGGGTGATTTTGATGGACGAGCAGGCCTTGGGGGACAGAGCAAGCTGTACTGATTAAGGAACACGATCCATGTTCTCATTCTCCCCCACCTCTGGCCTGCCTATAGAGCTGCTGAAAGTGGCAGAGAGGGGACATCAGAGATGGGGAAAGAGAGCAAAGGCACAGCGTGTCTGGAACCCAAGCCAGAAGGGACGGGCTTTGCACTGGCTGTGAAACAGAAGCCCTGATTTCAATTAGTCACAACGGGCTAATAAAATAGGGCATGTAACTGAAAGTTACCAGAATTCGTCTCAGATGTCCGAGAAGGTTAGAGAAGAAAGAGCTGACAAAATTTGACATTTTAGAAAACAGTTGGCAAGAAAGTGAAGTTGCTCCCAGCTAGAGTGTGTGAAGGCTAGGTAAGTGCATTTGATGTACTCACTAAACCTCTCTGTGGTTACTGAAGGGGAAATACAGAGAGGTGTGAGAGGTGGGGGGCATTTCTCAGGGCAGCCCAGTTAAGTCCACAGGTCTGATACTATCTGCCTATGAAAATAGTTTTTGACACAAAATATGGAACAAGAGTAGGCAATGAGGTAGGAAAATGCTTCCAGGCTGGGACAAACCATGTGCACGACCCTGACATATAAGAAGGTGGTGCTGATGGAGGATGCTCAGAAGCAGCAGCAAGAACGTAAGCCTAGAGGGCACTGCTGGACTAGGTGGGGCTCTGTTGGCCTTTATCCTGGGTGGGCCAGAGACCTTGAAGGGCTGTGAGTGGCTTTTCTGGGTGGAGCTATCCACCTCCCCTCAACCCTGATAACTGTGATGAGGTTGAGTGGTGGTGTGTGCAGGCTTGCACCTGCCTCCCAGCTTCAATGTCATCCAATATTCTCTCTGACACCCTTTTTCCTCTTATGCTTCTTTTCTTCCCAACCCTGAACCCCTTTTCAAGCAAATTCCAGGCATCATATCATTTAGCTCATAGCTATTTCTATAAAACTTAAGAACTTTCATCATCTTAGATAATGAAAGAGTTGTTGACGCCATGTAGCTTTATTGGCCCTTGAGGCCCTTTAGCCAAAAATGAGCATGCTTTATTTTAGATAGGCCAAAAATAGTTTAAAACATTGCACTTAGCCAACTACTTTGTGATGCACTAAAATTTCAGCAATGTGACTTTTATATGGCGGTCAGGATTTTTCAGTGACATCTTCTTAGTGTTGAGAGAATTCTCTGATGACTTGTTTAGGAAATTTCAAGAGGACATGGGCTTGCTTCAGGCCTATCTATGCGCCATTACTTCTTGAAAGAATATGGTGTGGAGCTGGTCTTTTGTCCCCAGCATGTCGGGAAACATGACATGGGTGCCCAAGTGGTCCAATTTTTGCTTTTACTAGCAAAACCCGTCATGCTGCCTTACGATTGTTTACGAAACTCTACAGAGCGGGCTCTATTTTTAAAATGTTAGTTCATCTCAGAATCTCGGAATGTAAGGGGGCAAGTAGGGTGACTTGAATTGCCTCTAAGGGTTGAAGAGTCACTGGCCACAGAGTTGAGCACGTCACCCTAGAGTGCGTCTGAATGAGGCTCCGCACTACCACTCACAATTTCACTACTGAACCAGCACAGAAAACAGAGGTGGTGCAAACTTCCAGAATGACAGCAAAACCTTCGTGGAGTCCGCATCACCACCTCCAAGCCTCTCACTGTGCTAACTTCAACACTTTCCGAGAGATAGTTAGCCTTGGAAGGTGCGGTATCTTTGAATGATGGACAATAAAACAATAGTCCTGGTTATCAAGAGTTTCTGTGAAAAGATACTTGTGATAGTTAATTTTATG